GGGTTTTAGACCCTAGGCTCCCCAGACCCTAGACCTCTTAGCGTGCAGCAATCACCTGCACCTCGAAGCCTTGGACAGTTCCGCCTTCTGGAAGATGAGAGGGCTGTCATGCTACTGCTAATTGCTTAAGGAACCAAAGCCCCTAAACCCTAAACCCTAATTAAACCCTAAACCCTAAGCCCTAAGCCCTAAGCCCTCAGCCCTAACTGATTGTCCCGAAGCCCTGAACCCAACAGAGCGGCCAACCAGGTCAATGCGCACGCAGCTCTCTCAAAACAAGGCTGCCGGCGTTTGAAGGGTTTAGGGCTTTGGGTCTAGGGTTTAGGGTTGGGTCTTCTTCGTTAATGTCTGAGTCACGACAGATCAGTTGACTTAATAATATGCTTAGGCTAGGGCTTGGGTCTTTCATCCAAGTCCCTAAAGTTAGGGTTTAGGTTTAGGGTTTAGGGTTTAGGGTTTAGGGTTAAAAACAAGGCTCCAGGCCCTTGGATCCCCAGGTGCATGAGGTGCGAAGTAATCCGAGCTTCTGTTTAATTGGTGGGGGGGCCCCCCCCCCCCCCCCCCCTCCACAATAAGGAATGCAGGGTTCCGCAATAGTTGGACCGCGGCCCTGTATTGATTCTCTATTAAAGACAATAGGCTGCAGATCCCTGAGGTGCTGTAGCTTTGCGTCTCCGCAAGCAAAACAAGAAGCCCGCCGACAGATTTTGGAACCCCCCAAAAAAAATATTCCTTTAAATGTGGGGGGTTTGTCCCATACGAAATCCACCCTAATGGAAAGTAGTCTTCCGGCGGGCTTCCGGCCAAAAAAAAATTCTTTAAATATGGGGGTATAAATTAAACTGATGCTCGGTAGGGTTTAGGGGTGAGGGTTTAGGGTTTAGGGTTTAGGGTTTAGGGTTTAGGGTTTAGGGTTTAGGGTTTAGGGTTTAGGGTTGAGGTTGCGCAGTGTATGATTTTATGTTCGTTGTTGCCATTTTGGTCTAGGGGAAGGCTATGGAGTAAACCCCTGGGGCCAGGTTCTGTTAGTTAGGTGTATCAAGCATCTCTAGATGGTGTGCAGAATAGCTAGTTGCTCTGTTGCTTTGTTGTACTTTGAAGTGTGCAGACCAAGGGTTTAGGGTTTAGGGTTTAGGGTTTAGGGTTTAGGTTGAGGGTTGAGTGTTTAGGGTTACTGTCCCTGCGCCTGGAAAACAAACCACGTGCGTTCACTTCGCGGGACCAGCGTGGCTACTTAGGGCCAGCCTGTTCGGTTTACGGTTTAGGGTTTGGTTTAGGCTTCAGGGTTCAGGGTTCAGGGTTCAGGGTTCAGGGTTCAGGGTTCAGGGTTCAGGGTTTAGGGTTTAGGGTTTAGGGTTTAGAGTTTAGGGTTTAGGGTTTAGGGTTTTAGGGTTTAGGGTTTAGGGTTTAGGGTTTAGGGTTTAGGGTTTAGGGTTAGGGTTTAGGGTTTAGGGTTTAGGGTTTAGGGTGTTCAACAGTTTCAGTGCTCAGGGCCTTACGTAGGTTTCTCAGCCAGCGCGCTTTCCCCCTAGACCCTGAATCCCATCCTTAAATGGGGGTTCCGAAATTAGGGGTACCCTTATTGGAGTCCTTATTATAAATCCTACTAATTGGCGTCTAACATGGTCCCGTATTTTCGTAAACCCCTAAATAGGGTACGTGGGTTTTGGGGGGCGCAAGGGCTACCTCGTAGGTGAAGTCCCGCTACTACTTCGACGGCAATGGCATCACGACGCTCTGGGCCCCAGTTTTGTCAGGCCTTCGAAAGGTTTCGGGTTCAGGGTTTACGGTTTAGGGTTTACTTGAAGGTTCATGGTACTTACTAACCAATTATAACTGGATTGATAACCCTACTTATAATTGGGAGAACCCCTATAAGGCCCTTTAGGGGTATTGCAAGTAGGGTTATAAGTACAGTTATAATTGGTTAGCAAGTACCATGAACCTTCAAGTAGGATTTAGGGTTTACGTACGGTTTACGCATTGCCACCAGTTCCGGCCTGCGATGCTGCTCCTCTTTCTTAGGGTCTGGATCTCAAATAGACCGAAGTAGCCAAGAAACAAGCATATTTCCCTCCAAGGATATTTCTAAGGAACACGACATTTTTACACCCTGAGCCCAGCACCCACCCTTTGGAGCTTGAAGCCCTTGATCCCTAAGATAGATAGAGTTAACTTAGAATCTGAATCCAGGCATGCCTAGCCGGCCATCGCCGGTCATATGCGGATGCTTCATTCTCGAAAGAGCACACATTCGTGAAGCATGCGTACAACTACAACCAGGGGATGATGCAACCAACGTGATGATGCTTTGATCCAGCTGGGCTTTCCACTCCTCAGACAGGCAATCAGAACTTACCTTTGTGGTACTTTACCGTAACTTTAGATCCTTACCTTTTTTGGGTTTATTGGGTTTCTTAGTGAGGCAGCTAAAGGTTTCATTCATAGCTACCCTCCTGAGTGCAGCCAAGTTACAGACGATGCTCTCCGGCAAGGAATTTCCGAATTTTCATCCGACCCAGGCTTGGATTGGGACCAACCGTTTTTTCCCGAAGCACGGCTACGCATTCCCTGCGCTCTTGAGAACCAGGTTGGAGTGAGCATGGCTGTATATGTATATATGTATATATGTATATATGTATATGTATATATGTATATGTATATGTATATGTATATGTATATGTATATGTATATGTATATGTATATGTATATGTATACGTATGTATATATATATATATATATATATACATATACATATATATATATATATATATATTACTTACAACGCCTGCGTCTCACAGAAGACTTGAAGACTGCATCGTACATGAGTCCGATGGGAGGCGATTCGAAAGGTCACCGAGACAAACAGTGAACACAGCTCAGCGCCAGCGCTAGTCACCGAAGCACCCGCCGTTGCAAAGGCACTTTCAGCCCTAAGCCCAGCAGTTGTGTTCGGTGCATTGCCGAACATTAGCATTGGCCACTTTGGTGGGCTTATAGAGAGCTAATTTCTTCCCGGGTTTAGGGTTCAAGGTTTACGCTTGACGCTTGGCAACCTAGTACGCTTGGCCGCGTTCCCGAGCATTCTCCACGTGCACGTGAGCTGGTTTAGGCTCTAGCGCTTTAGGGAGATGAGTGACTAGGACATCAGAAGACCCTTTTGACCCCAATCGCCTACAACCCCTTACCCTAAGGGTCCTTGACCCCTGCAATGCACGTGCCGCCCCCTGCAATGCACATGTCGGGCCCCCGGGGTGCATGGGTGACGTGGCGTGGCCCCTGGACCCAAGAGCCCCAGGGGCCATGAGGGGTTGGGGGGGGGGGGGGGGGGGGGTGGGGGGTAAGGAGATGGCGTGAGGGGGTGAGTGGGGGGGGGGGGGGGGGGGGGGGCGGGGCGGACCTGTAATTGGTGATGTTGACAATGACAATGCATGATTATGAGTTGTAAGGGGTTTGTTTAAGAGGACAATTGCTGGGGTTTTAGCTATGTGCATGTACATATGTGAATGTGTGCTCGAGCTTCTTTTGCCATGGGGTTCGTTGCCTAGATTGCATGAAGTTATTTGCTCTTAAGATTTTATCCGAGCTGCTTCTGAGCGCTTTAAACGCTGCAACATATATATATATACATATTATATAATAGTAGCGCTTTAACGCGCTGTTGAGGTCTATACATGAGCGCTTGCAGCCCTGCGTGATGTACATATATCGACTGCAGATCGGTATACGGTAATTACATGTAAAGTGAATGTCATGCTGAGTGACTGCCATGGCTTCCTTGGAGTGCTGCCATGCCCCGGGCACGGGTATCCAGAGGTGCTCCCCCCGAGCTCTGCGTGCATCGTTGGCATGGCTGTCTTGTGTGCATGGCTGTGTCATTAGAATGCATGCTGCGTTTGTGCATTTGCCCCGTGCCATGAACCTGCGTTTTGCAGCAAACATTTTCAGCGTGGGTGTTGGTGTAGCGAAGCCTGAGGGCATTAGGCCATGACTTCGCTGGAGGCGATGGACGAAGATGCTCTGAGTAACTTTGCTGCATATTGACCGGTTATCATTTGTATTGTGCATGTTTGTGGCCATGAGGTTGTCTGAAGCTTCACATCTCTGCAGACACGATATTGCGTTGCTCACAGAAAAAGCCTCCGGGCAACACGCTGTTCCCCAAGGTTGCGAAGCTTAGCTGAATTCTTTTACTGGGTTCGTGCGCATGTTGCGCATATCATGTGCATGATTCGCTGGGTACCAGGAATCCCAGCAACATCTGCTATCTTGATATGATGAACCACCTGGATCTCATTATCAGCCTGTTCGAAATTTCGCCAGAGGGCGTCTTTGCAACTATGGCTGCTGTGTCATCTACCAAGCTAGCTATGCTAGCTAGCACGAGCGCATTCCATGTCATATGCAAATAAGGAGATATCAACATCACTTTCTTGGCTTTGCTCTTTGCCAAATGGGACCATTCAGCCAAACACCAGCTTTCACAGGGAAAGAACATCCGAACCAAGAAGAAGTGGGCGCTAGACGATTCTTGGCAATCTTGCACAATATTTATCATGATATCTACATGCATTCTGCATGCTTGTGAGCGTTGTTTCTCGTACTGAGGAATCGTATACACTATTTGCTTTGCTCAGCTATGCCCGAGCGTATTGGAGACGTGCTGTGAAGCGACATACGGTTGGGGAGGTAGGATCGCAGGGCCCTGCATTAATTGCATGTGGAAGAATGTAAAATGTATAGAGCCGGTTGCAGGCTGCTGACAGACTACGAGCGGTCATGAAGGAGAACCCGCGCAAAAGCAGGGCCCACCTGAAGAAGAAAAACAAGAACGATGCGAATGTTTCCCTCGACCCCAAGAAAGAAGATGATCGTGATTCCGACGTCGAAATTGTTTTCTGGACTCGAGCAACGCCTGTTTGCAATTTGACTGCATGTGCACATGTACGGAATAACTCATCCATATAGGCATACATGTTGTCGATTGCGTAACCTAAGGCATGGCCGAGGAAGCCAAGCCAGAGGATTCCTGCCCTGCCAAGGACACGCGAAGCACGTGTGCGGTGCGTGTATTATATATGTGATGACATGATCGCCTGCGTTCGAGGAACATGTTTTTCATTTCTGCAGGACCCGATGTGGCTCGAAGACCCGAGCTCCATGGCAGCTGACGCTGCTGGATTTGACAAGGCGTTGAAGGAAATCATGGAGCAGTTTGTGGATGACATATCTGATGAAGATTCGAAGGACCATGGGGCAAGCAAGCTGTGTTTATGTGCACATGATCACGGATAACACACCGGCACACATCCCCCGTTGGCACGCAGGAGCCCTCGTCCTTGCCGCCGAAGCCGGTTGCAACCCCGTGCCGGTGCCCGGACAACATGGAGACCCTGCTGACGTGTTACGATTCCGATGAGGAAGCCGAGATCCTGCAAGCATGGTCTGGCAAGACCGCTCAGCAAGACTGCGCAGTGCCACCCAGCGGTGGTAGCAGTTGCCTTGAGGTGGCCTCGGTGGGCTCCAATGATGGGAGCCTATTGGACTTTGAGGATGATGTGACGCTAAGGTTGGGCGAGTACAGCCCATCCCCCATGGACCATGATGACGATGGAATGGATGGAGACGTCGCCAAGGATACCGGGCGTGGATCCCAGACAGGCCCGGACGAGGCACTCATGGACACCTACGTCGATGACTCGGAACCCATCTGGCTGTCCGAGTCATTCGTGGACACCTACGTCGATGAGTCGCAGCCCATGCCCAATGCAAACGTTGCGGCGGCAGGCACTTTGCCCGGTTGCACGCAGATCATTCCAACGGCTACAGGGCCGGCCGAGCTCCGAGATCCTGAGCCGGAGCCGCTTGAAGATTCAGAGGAGGCGGGTATGCAATGTACTGACCCGACATGAGTCCGCATTTTTCACGCAATCGACAGCTAGGAGAAACCGGTTGCTGGACCGGCCATGGAGAAGCGTGATGGTTCAAAGGACAGTTTGCATGCATTTAAATGGCTAAATATAATATAGAGGGTATATATATATGGCGTTTTAAAAAACACAGATACATTTTACAAATCCCGCGGTCATTGTCAGGAAAACCTGATGTATCATGCTGGGCATGATGGCTCGCAGGCTCTGGAGAGTTAATTGTCAAACATTTGCTTTCCAAAACAACCATTTGCCTAAACGATGCAGGATTCCTACCAAGAGTACCATGGTTGCTGGGAACTCCGTGACGACGGCCTCATTTGGGCTGTCAAAGGGCACCCAAAGGCTGGCAAGGGGTTTCAAAACGAGAGCGCTTTAAAATTTGCCCTGCATGTATGTGCATGATCCTTATGTTCGAATTTGCATGACCTCGAGGCCTCGAACGATGCCGAAAGCAACACCGACGAGGACTCAGATCTGCAATTAGTTTATTCATTGTTCACATTCCTCGAGTTGCAACAGGAGAACGTGTTGCAGAATGCTGCGCCGGCTGCGCATCATGAGCATGATGCCTCAATGGACCGGTTGCGTGGGATGTATGTTGTCATTTTTGTGTGCATGCATGCATGACATGTGATGATCGAAGCTATATTAAATATATTATCGATGTATTCTAGGAGGGCGCTTTGGCCAATGGCCACGACGGGGCCGACCCATCTTCCTTGGCCGACCTTCCCGAGTTTGTACAGGAAGTGAAGGCGCATGAGCTTTCCCCGGCTGTGTACTCAGAGCAGTGGAAGCGCAAGAAGACGTCGGCAGCCAAACCGCTGGCAAAGGCCCCGCAGCTCAGCATCGATGATGTGGACATGGACCTCGCAGGGCCCGACGCTGAGCCCCCCATGGAGATGGAGGGTGATCATGCTGGACCTGCCCCGAAGCGCAAGCCCAAGAAAAAGGCCGGGAAGAAGAACCCAAGGCATGCAGGACTTGCCCCGAAGCGAAAGCCCAAGAAGAAGGCCAACAAGAAGAACGGGGATGAGTCACAGGGTGATGCTGGACCTGCCCCGAAGCGAAAGGCCACCAAGAAGAACGGGGATGAGTCACGTCGGGCTGCCCCGAAGCGCAAGCCTGATGCCAAGCAGAAGAAGGCTGCCAACCATGGGGCAGACGCAGCTAGCGATGGTTCTGCAGAGCAAGCCCTTGCAGAGCAGGCCCCGATGGCAGAGCTGGCCCTGATTGCAGAGCTGGCCCCGATGGCAGAGCTGGCCCCGATTGCAGAGCTGGCCCCGATTGCAGAGCTGGCCCCGGTGGCAGAGCTGGCCCCGATGGCAGAGCTGGCCCCGATTGCAGAGCTGGCCCCGGCCTTTGCAGACCCGGGCCCAGAAGTTGCAGAGATGGCCCGAGAGCTTCCCCTCGCCGAACGGGAGCCACATCGTGAGGCCTTGTCGCACGAGGTGATCGCTCAAATGGGCCACATGACCATGGAGGACATGATGGCAGATAACCGCATCGTGTTGGTGGAAGCGCCCTCCTGGGTCAAGGGCAATCATGCTTACAGCAATGGATATCGTAGGGCCCAAAAGCGCATGCATGGAAAGGAGGAAGCTCGATTGTGGGGCCGGACTTCCGCGCGTGTTTGGCGCTTGTCGGGCCCGGCCAATCGGCTTTACTGCCCTGCAATTTGCGAAGATTTCACCCGCCCTCGCCCCCGCGCTAAGCCAAAGGCAGCGCCTGCAGTGTCTGACCATGAGGGTGATCAGGAGAGTGCGGAGTCCTAAGTATCCGAGCATTGCCGCTGGAGTAACTGTGCAGGGCTAGCGCCACATACACACCATGCATGCATGCTGCTATATATAGGCCGGACTCCAATCTCGATGGGTCACACGCACACGTACAGCTGTGCCAGGGTTTACGACGAAACCAGAAGCAGTTTCAAGTTGGGGAGGCAGCCGTGGACTACCATGTGCTCCCGAGGGGTTGCTGGATCGCTCGAGTGTGCCAGAACTTGGGTCCTTTGCATGTGTGACTGCTACTTCCATTTAATTCGCTTTAAGTGCACAATCCATGCAAAAAAAACGACACACACGCGCAGCTATTTTCTTAAGTACATATTGCGCGGTATATATTGCATAGCATGCCGGCTGCCGATCCTGTGACACGTGCTTGCACTTTCCTAGCTATTATATATTGCATATGTGTACAAAATACATGTCTAGAGCTCTGTCTGTTTCTGTGTGTGTGTGTGTGTCCGTGTTTTTCTTTTGCCCGTGCACTCAGGATTACAGTGGAGGACGGCGACGCGGATGATCGGTCTCTTTCAGTGCCTCGCTCTCTACCGGCGGGCCCTCGTCGACCTGGTCATTTGCCGTTCCGCTTGTTTCTGTTGATGTCAACGCTGCAAGGGATGTTTGCAATGCTTCCTGAGCCGTTCTTTCTGGTGGACGCCTTTTCCGGGAAGGGGGCCATATCGTGGGGCTTCAAGCAGCGCAACCGGCGCTACACGCGCATGGACATTGCCCTGGATAGCCGTGATGATCCTAGGTCAAATTCTTCATGCGTGTGCACGATCACGTGTGCATAATGGTTACTATTTTTTCGCCGGTGCCTGCACGTCCCGAGGACATTTTATCTGATATCGGTTTTATCCGGCACCTCTGGTGCACCATGAACCTGGCTCATGGAGGATTGCTGGCTATGGGAGTGGTATGCAGTTCGTGGTCGATAATGAGTCGTGCTTTGTCAGAATATGATCACATATCTTGCATGCGTGAGTGTATGTTCATGTGTGTGGGCTTCCTTTGCACTGAGGTCACACAACAGGTCGCTCTCCGGAATTCCCCATGGGAAACCAGCATCTTGGCAATTCTGTATGTGCAGCGCTTCCACCATGCAGCGCTTGTATTCAGGTTTATTTGCGATTGTGTAGTTGAAGCGCTTCTACCAGCGCTTACATATGTATCGCGCGCACGCTTTTCTAGGTTGAAATTATTGGTGTACCGTAGGTGCAGCGCTTCAACCAGCGCTTATATATGTATCATGCCTTGCATGTCTATGTTTCTTGGCGTAGCATTTTGTATATGCAGCGCTTCCACCAGCGCTTACAAACATGTATATCATGCATGCATGCCTGGGATTAAATAATAAACATATTCATGTATATATATATATACATACATATATACATTTTTTGTTTATCCCTTTCGGTTGTGGTGGCCCAGGAGCTATGCCAAAGTTCGCGAGGCCAACTGCATGGTCAGCAGGGCCTCTTGGCATATTTTGGTGACGCGGGGCACATGTGTCTGCGCTGAATTGTGTTCGATATCGCGACTGCAATTCTGCATGCTTTCGAGGCTATTCTGCTTATCTATGCAGCATTGTATTGCAATGCCCACTTCCTGGTTGAGAACCCCCTGCAGTCCATTGCAGCTGGCCATGCACATTTGGACATGATCAGTGAACGCGTGGGTAACTGAAAATGGGATTGTACATTTTATCATGTGTTGACTCTTTCAGATCCACCTCCACGACCGCTTTGTGGAGCTGATGGTTTCTCGGCCTATCTGCAAGATTTCCACCTGGTTAGGAATGTACAACGCTGCGACGGCAAAGCCGACTCAGCTGCTGGCTGACGATCCGTGGATTGTGCATCTGCAGAGGACGTGCCGCATGGGTTTGCGTGTTACATTTTTGCCACTTGAACGTACACATGGCAAGCAGTGTTCGGTATAGACCGTGGCACATGTACGTCATGGCGCAGGAAGATGATTCGCAAGAAAGGCTCTGCGCAAGCGCGCAAAAAAAAGGGACTGGTCAACTACAAGATGAAGAATGGCAAGCGAACCTTCACCGGCAAGAAGGCTGCATTAAAAACATCACAAGTATACCCAGGCACCTTTGGCCACGAGGTCCCTGGGCTTAAGAAGCTGTGCACGCATGAGCTGCAGGATGCACGAGCGCACATTCATGTTGTAGATTTATTGCGCCCAGGTTGCCCGCAATTTCCTCTTATATGCCCAGCGCCGACCCCAGCACCACATGGATGTGGACTGGACACCGGACATGTGGGAAGATGCCAGGCCTGCATGTCATGGATGTTGCATGTTGATACGCGCGGCTTGCAGTTTTGGAATCTGTGACATTTGCACGGTGCAGGCTGGACAGCGTGGAAGCCTATGTTCGAGACAATCTGGGCCTTCCCACGCAGCAGTGATTTGAGGACGCTGGCCTTCGGTTTGCAAGACGTACGTTTCGGGTCTGAAAGTCCCAGGCTACATGCAATTTGTAATTTGTTCCACGTGTGTGGACATGCACACACACTGACCGCACACATGCCTGCGCGAATCGCGCAAAACATGTCCGCTGGATATCTGCAGCGCAGTCATGTAGCATGCACTGAGCATTATTTCAGGAGCATTGCGCTGCGCAGTCCATGTCTTTGAGCAATTTGAGCTGCCCCCACCAAAGCATTTTTTTGCTTAGCTAGCGGCGTCGACCGCTCCTGAAAATCCACCTCGACAGCTTCGCAGGACCCCAGCCGGTACATGCACACAGTGGTTGCACATGTTTGCGTACATGTATATATATATATATATATATGTATATACTTAATATATATATATATATTATAAGTGTAATATATATATATATATATATATATATATACATGTATGTACATATGTATATATATATATATAGATATGTATTCTAATTATATATATAATATAATATACCATATAATATATATATATATATATAAGATATAAAATGTAATCCATAATCTCTAATATATATATATATATATATATATATACAGAGGGAAACTTCACCCTGTCGCGCAGGCATTTTCATGTTGGGAACACAGCTGTTTACTACCGCTAGGAAGATATACACACCAAAAGACCTTATCAAAAACCCAGGATCAACTTTTTGGCATCTTTTTGACTGTGTATATATTAATATAGTTTAAACCCCTTGGATTCTTCGCTTGCACCTTGGATGTAAGGATTAAGACTATATATGTATTCGATGTAGGTGTTTCTGTCACGCCATGGCAAAAATTGAGCAGCACCCGGCGTGGACCAAGGCTGGCTATGTGGCTACGGGAACTGAGCGCTCCACAAGCCTGCGAAAGATTCGAGACGGCCTAAAGCAGCCTTCTTGGAAAACGGCTGGCAGTCATAGCAATGTGGAGATGCACATACACTTTCGATTCCTCAAAGAGGTCCACCGAAGTGGCGTCGTGGTTCCCGAGGACGCCCCGATTGTCCTCCCCAACAACGACGCAGCCATGTTCGAAGAATGGCGACGTCTTGGGGAGATCAGCGACGAGGAATCGGAGTCCACCCTCGTGGCGGAGTGGAAGGATCACGTGCAGGGACGCGCGTCGGCGATGGACGTGGAGCAGGGCTTGAAGATGCAGAAGCATGATGAGGGCTCGCAAATGGAGATGGACGATGGTAGGGCCTTGGCGTCGCAAACGAAGGAAGCCTTGGACCAGAGCGAGACCTGCAAAATGGAGGTGGAGGAGGGTTCGGGCTCGCTGTGGCAAACGGAGGAAGCCTTGGACCAGCCCGAGGGCGTTTCCCCCTCGCCCCACTGCATGGAGGAAGCCTTGAAGCAACCCACGGAGCAGCCCAACGACAACGACCTGCAGCACGAAGCCTCCTCGTCTAACTGCACGGGGGAAGCTTTGGAGCAGCCCAACAGCCAGGAGCTGCAACCCACGTGCGAGGCTTCGACTTCGTCCCACTGCAGGGAGGAAGCCCTGGAACAGCCAAAGCCGGAGAATGAGGAGCAGCCGAGGAAGGACCAGGCAAGTGAGACGGGCAACTCAGAGACTGCTGCTAGGCCAGTGCTGTCGTGCAAGGTGCCCGGTTTCGAGGTGATCAACGCTCCCCCTCCAGCTCGCCGACCAAAGTCACCCAACAGCAAGCGCCCCCGTGGTAGACGTGGAGGAAAAAATTTGGAGTACTGGTCAGCTGTGTACAGTCGCTGATCGACTTTTTTTGGCCAGCTAGGGCCAGGAGCACCACGTAATCGAGCATGTGAAAAAGCAACGGTCGCCAAGATTGTCTGCGTCCCATATGCATTGCACTGAATATACATATTTACGTATTAAATAAATAAATAATAGATTTAATATACAAAATATATATATATATATATATATATACACGTACATACATCACTCTACGTCAGCTAGATGCATAATGTTTTCTCGCGTGCGCATTTTCGACTGCAGGAGCTATGGATGGAGAGGCATCCCGCCGAGCCACGTTCAATTGGTTGCGGTGGACCAACAGGATTCTTTGGCACCTTGCGCGCTTTGCTTCGTTTGTCGCGCTGGACATGACAACTGTGTTAGCTCGCCGAAGAGTGCAAACCGCTAACCCGGAACCTGCAACAGATGCAGATAGATCACGATCTCCTACATCTCGAGCGCGGAACACCTGGGCCCGGTCGCCGAGCTCGTCTTCTTCTTCGAGCGACCATGATTCCGCAGAGATAAATCTGATACACTGGGAGAATGCCATAGACTCTCTGGAAGGTGTTTGATGCTCGTCTGCACTGTGTGTTTACAGCTAGGCCAGGTGTGACCCGTGCTATTTCACCACGGTACAATGCATGTGGGCATTCGGAACTCACTCAGGATCCCTGTGGCCGGCTATCGGATGCGAAGCATTTGCCCTGAAAGCTTTCATATATGGCTCAGGGCTTAAGCGCAGTGCTGCGCTGCATGCAGCATGTACATGTGATATAGAAAACATTATTTCTAGTG